GCCTCTCTGCTTTTAAACGTGCAAGCTGTCGTTTTTCTTTTCTCTTTATTTTCTGCCTTTGATTCTTAACTTGTTCATTCAGGTCATCAGTCACAACACTATCAGGATCAATAGTGTCTGAGTCACTCTCACTCACCCATGCATCATCTCCCATTGCTTTCTGTCTCTCATATTCAAGGTAGGCTTGTCTTGACATCTCCACACTCTCTTTCTCTTCAACTGTCAAATCCATATTCTCAAGATGGTCACTGAACTCAGTCAATGCATATACCAAAGTCTCTTCGGAGTAATTTCGCAGTAACATCCGTAGCTCTGCCACAAAGGCAAACCAATTGAGTGTGTTGTCTCTGAGCATTAGTAAAAGGTGATCCATTGAAGGCACAGGTGATACAAGTGTTCTATTCTTTTCTAAAGGGACATCAGGATCTGCAGCTGGTCTAGGTTGTTGAGACTTGTCCTGAGACTTGTTTGTAACAGCAAGATTAACATCTGCAGAAGCAGTTTGGAACTTCACAGGTCCCTTGTTCTTCTCATCTTCTGATATCCATTCACAGTCTGTTCCTTCTGAACTAGACAGTTGGTCCTCTGCACTGTCATCATCTGAATATGTGAGTCCAAATCCTTCTAAGACAGCTTTATCTTGAACTTTTGCAAGGGTGTCAACTGCATCTCTTATTTCTTTAAACTCTTCTAAAGTACTATTAATTCTAGATTCTTGCTTATGGAAGTCACTGAAACCATACAAATTTCTTGCCTTGTTCTTTGATAGGTTTTGCCCTTTACAGCATGCGTACTTTATGAGAAGTCTATCAGATTCTGAACTTGCCAAAGTACACAAGTCTTTCAACACCTCCCTTGACATCCCAGACTCAAAACATGTCTTTCCTTGGAAACATTTCTCAGCCATCTTAATAACCCTACAGATATCAACGCCTTGCAATGTTTCTAGAACATATAATCTCTGTGACCCGGGTCCATTTAAAGTCATTTGAACAATAGTCACAGGCATTTGTAACAATTTTCTAACAGCCTGTTCTGCTTTGTATTTAACTAACGGAAAGTAACGTTTATAAGAGGAGCCCAGTTCAACAACACATTCACCAAGGATATGCTTGCCAAAGTCAATCAATGTTGCACACTCTTTGCATAATCAAGGCGAAGCATGCTTCCAGTGACAAAACAAAGGCCTGACAGTAATAAAGTCTTCTAAACTGAACACTTCAGGTATTGGTGAAACATAAATGCCCTCAGATATTTTAAAGTTTTTTATTCCTCCTGCTTTAAAATCCATATACACCTTCAGTTTTTCATTTTGGTTTGAGGTCTCAGGCCCTGACACAAAAAG